GTTTCTCTGGACAGGGGTGGTTTCTGGCGGAACCAAAAGTAGTTTTGTGGTCCCCTGGTTCACCCCTGTCGATTCGACTACTTTTCCGTCGAAATCCGGACCCATCAATTTTCGCTAAAAACACAAATGTAAATTTGGCCAAAAATGAAAAAAATAAAAATCGCTGGAAATGATTGGAATTGGTCTGGGAGAGTCGCCTTTGACCTCCTCTGTCGAAATTGCGTGCTTCCTGGCTCTTTTGCATCCTGTTTCTTCGACTATAAAATTGCGTCTTTGGTTTGTCGCAGGAAGATTGGCCTGGAGGTGACCTGACTTGGACATCAGCAAAGCAGCCTATGTGTCACCTGCAGTATGCTGAGTTGGCGTCGCAGCACACAGCAGAAGGAATCGCTCCTTTTTCTCATGATCGCAGGAATGAATCTGGTAAGTTTTGACTTTCAATGTGATGTTAACTTAAAATGCCAGTATTTTTATGGTAGTCATGTCTGGTAAAAGTTTATTTTGGTATTGTTTCTATTTGTGGGTAACTTGCCATTTCTTTACTGCTTATTCTCATTCCATATATACGGCTTATTACTTGAGCCTAAAATATATAGCTGTGTTCTAATTTTAGTGCGGAACTGGAGGCAAATCATTAGTAATCTTTGACAGTAATGCTGCTATTTATTTCATTTGTATGGTACAGTCGTAGTAAAATAGGAAGTGATGCTGTTTCTTGTCCATAGGGATATGCCTGGACTTGATGCTGGCCACCTGTAACATAGAATTTCATTCGATGAGTTGGCATTACAGTGATACATATGGTCCAGAACATGTTTGAGTTGAACTGAGAATTTGAATTTAACTTAGATTTTTTTCATTCTTTTTCAGGTATTCAGATTCGCTCCAAGTCACCAGCAGAAACAAGCCAGCTACTTGAGGAAGACTTACTCTTATAATGTAAATGATTTGAAACAATAAAGAATAGAAAATCACTACATCTGACATATTTTACTTGATTTCCTACACCTAGTTAGCTAGAAGCTGTAGTAACTGTGGATGTAGTAGCAGACAGCCACAACTACCGCAGTGACGTCACAGACGTCTCTGATGCAGCGGCTGCAGTGGCAGCAGTAGGATTACCACTACTACTACCCCCACAGCCCCCGCAGCAGCGGCGGCAGCCTACTACTACCTCCACAGCAGCCGCAGCCGAGAGGAGGGCAGGGGGAGGGGAGGTTTTTTTGGACGGCTTAGGGCGACACGTCCAGCCCCCTCATTGACGCAGTGAGGTCACGCGTTGCACGTATTGTCCCCATGCAAGGGGTCCGCTGACTCCACAGCGTTGAGCGGAACGGCTCCGCTAGACCCTTCCACAATGTGGGTGATGTTACAGGGGGGTAGATAAAATAACTGGACCAACGGTTACCACTGTGACACCAACTCAACTTAAATCTGATGATTCCATGGGCTGCACGGCTGATGTCCAGGACAGAAACACCTCCAGGCCGATCTTCCTGCAACAAACCAAAGAGGCAGTTTTAGTCGAAGAAACAGGATGTTAAAGAGCCAGGAAGCACGCAATTTCGACAGAGAAGGTCAACAGCGACTCTCCTAGACCATTTCCAATCATTTCCAGCGATTTTTATTTTTTTCGTTTTTGGCAAAATATACAAAGGCTATAGCCTTTGTGTTTTTAGCGAAAATTGATGGATCCGGATTTCGACGGAAAAGTGGTCGAATCGACAGGGGTGAACCAGGGGACCACAAAACTACTTTTGGTTCCGCCAGAAACCACCCCTGTCCAGAGAAACTTGAGTTTTAAGGGGTGGTCTTTTGAATCTGGCGCGCGAGCCGGTCCGAGAAAAACA